ATCGCCCATGCATCTGCGATGCGGCGCGCTCCTCCGACCCCATCTGCTCCGCTGTAAGGTCCGCTATGGGGCCCGCTGGAGCCCGCTAGGGTCCGCCAGGGTCAGTTGGGGTCCGCTAGAGTCCGCCAGGGCCCGCTGGGGTCCGCTAGGGTCCAGTGCGGTCCGCTAGGTTCTGCTATAGGGTCTGCTAAACCCCAGTTGGGAGGCCTGGGGCCTCGGGCCCACGTGCCGCAGGGAGGTCGGGGGCCGCGGCCTGGCCCTCCTCCCTGCCCCTTCGCTCCCTCCTGCGGCCTGCTTCTCGCGCCTGCCTCCGCCTCAGTGTCCGCCCCAGTCAGTCCCCGTCTCCGTCGCTGACTCGAGCTCCATCCTCTCCGTGCTCCTGTGTGTGCTCGTGCACTTGTCTCTGCCTTTGCCCTTCTCTCTTCTTTTAGCTCCTGCCCTGGTCCTGGTTCCGCCTGTCTCGATCCCCATCGCTCTTTCTGATTATGCATCTGCTCTCCCCTGTACGTCCATGGCAGCCCCCGCCCCCGTCGCCGCCACTCTCTCAGTCACTTGAAGTATGCCAGTGATGAGAGGAGCGACGAGACATGACAGCGAGGGACTGGAGAAGGAGGAGCAGCAGCAGGAACATCAGCTGCAGCAACAGCCTACTACGCTAAATGATGGAAGCCCCGTCCCCGCCAGTGGACCAGGCACTCCACCTGGAGATTACTTGTCACTGGTCCACGTGCGCCCGGCAAGAAGGGGCGGACGGGCATGCGCACGGCGATGCACGGACGCTGAGACGCCGAGGAGCCGAGGTACATGAAGGCACGTTGTGCTGTCAGCGCGAAAGGGCCCAGCGGCAAGGTGAAAGGACGACCATCAAACGACGAGGGCGACGAGGCGACGAGGGGGAGAGGAACCCGCATGAAGGCACAAAGGCATCACGCGCACAACACACAGACTTCTTCGTGCCACCACGGAATGCGTGTAACGAGGGGCCCCAGGTAAGCTGCGACATCCCACAACGCACTCTGCACGCACGAGACGCTACCAATGCGCACGCTGCATACACGTGCATCTGTATATGTACTAGAACCATCGCGCGCGCGCTTCGCGCGCGCCAAAATTCTAGCTAGGCTTGATGGGCTAAATCATGGAATATCATGTTTGCCGCGTCTTGCATCCAAGGACTCTCTTGGAGGCCCTGTCCAAGCCTCGGAATTGTATAAGAGGGGAACTGCGGAAACGCGGAAATCATTAATTTTCGTTTGGTTTACAACGATTTGGGGCCCTCAAATCTTCCTGGTTTCTTTTCTGGGAGCTGGGGGGGGCCTTAATTGTGGTCTGTTGTGCAAGAGTAAGTAGACAGGGAGCGAACTTGGAAAAACAGGAATTGAGTGATTTCCATGTGTTTTTCAAATTGCCGTGCCTGGGCTGTGGGTTAGAAGTTTTCTGGATACAGGCCACGGTCCGTGGTGATGCCTCTCGGGACCTTCGTGTGAAATGAAGGGGTTAACATTGTTCAACTCATGGGATCATGAGGTCTCGATGTCTACGGTGGTTTCAGGGGAGCAGAAAAGACGCGGAGACGATCCAAGAGAGGGCCAAGACAGCGTCAGAGAGTTCAACAATATTCCAAAAACATCTTTGCATGTGACTATGAAGTCTTGATCTCGAGGAAGAGGATAGGGAGTAGGAGTCCCAATTTGAAGAAACAAAGGAATCTCTGAAATTCAATGTTTTTTCAAATTCCTCGGTTTGGGAGCGTTGGAAGCGGGAAAACGTGAGAAGGCGAAACAACGTCGACAAAAACCATTGGAAATCAACGATTTACCCTCTTCGGGCTCTCTCGGGACGGCTCTCGAAGCTCTCTTGGGCTGTTTGGGGGGCCTCGTCGGAGCTTTTTTGGGGGGCCTCTCAAGGGTCTGGGGTGTGTTGGACGCCTGTGGGGGGTCCTGGAGTCCTCTCGGAGGTCTCTGGCGGCCTCCTGCTCCCGCTCTTGGGCTCATCTTGGGCTTGTTCTGGGGTGGTCTGGAGCTGTCCTGGGCGCCTCTTCGGCAGTCTTGGGGCCGTCTTGGCCCGTCTTGGGGCCGTCTTGGGGGCCTCTTGGGCGGTCGTGGGGCGGTCTTGGGGGCCTCTTCGGCCGTCTTGGAGCGTTGGAAGCATGAAATGGTGAGAAGGCCCAAACCCCTGAAACAAGCATTGAATGACAGATATGAGGTTCTCTGGGCACTCTCGGGAGGCCTCTCGGAGCTCTCTTGAGGTCTCTTGGAGGCCTCCTGGGAGCCTGGAGAGCCGCCCGAAAGCTATCCTGGGTTGCTTAGAGGCGTCTTGGGCCGTTCTTTTACGTTCTGGGGGCTTCTTGGGGTCGTCTTGGGCTGTTCTTGGGCGTTTTGGGGGCTCCCCGGGAGGTCGGGAAGCACGGTGCCGGGAACGATCCGCAGATGTTCCGGGAAGGTGTGGGACCCCCGGGAGGAGGGGGCGCTCATTTGTTGAATTTGAAAAAAGAATCTCTGAAATTCCACTTGTTCTTCAAATTCCTCGGTCTTGGAGCGTTGGAAGCCGGAAAACGTGACAAGGCGAATAACGTCCACTATAACCACTGGGAAGCAACGGTTGTACCCTCTTCGGGCTCTCTCGGGACGGCTCTCGGGGCTCTCTTGGGCTGTTTGGGGGGCCTCGTCGGAGCTTTTTGGGGGGGGCCTCTCAGGGGTCTGGGGTATGTTGGAGGCCTGTGGGGGGCGTCCCGGAATCCTCTCGGAGGTCTCTGGCGGCCTCCTGCTCCCGCTCTTGGGCTCATCTTGGGCCTGTTCTGGGGTGGTCTGGAGCTGTTCGGGGCGCCTCCTCGGCAATCGGCCGTCTTGGCCCGCCTTGGGGCCGTCTTTGGGTCCTCTTGGGCGGTGTTGGGCCATCTTGGGAGCCTCTTCGGCCGTCTTGAAGCGTGGAAAGCATGAAATGGTGAGAAGGCCGAATACCCTGAACAACAAACAAAAAAATTAACGATTTTAGGTTCCGCGTTTTCGGGAGGCCTCTCGGAGCTCTCTTGAGGTCTCTTGGTGGCCTCCTGGGAGCCTGGAGGGCCGCCCGAAAGCTACCCTGGGTTGCTTCGAAGCGGTTTGGGCAATTCTTTGGCGTTCTGGGGGCTTCTTAGGGTCGTCTTGGGCTGTCTTTGGGCATTGTGGGGGCTCCCCGGGAGGCCAGGAAGCGCGGTACCGCGGGAGCGTACACGAGCGCACTCGTGGAATCAAGTTTCTTTCCCGACCCTCCACGAAGGTCGGTCGTGTGCGCACGCGCGATTTTGTCCACTCCTTTGTTGACGGACGTGGTGCCCGTGGAAGGCTCAGGGGGCCCCGGCCCTCCATGGCGAATCCTTCTCCTCGTCCTGCCTCTGCCGAAGCAGCCGCGGCCGCAGCCGCAACCCGAGCTGAAGCTGCAGCGCGCAGGGCCCGATCCCGAGCCCGAGCGCCGTAGCACGTGGCCGCAGCACGTGGCCGCAGCCCGCGGCGCGGCTTCGGCCGCAGAAGCCCGAGCAGCAGCTGCGGCCGCCGCCTGGGCCGCAGCCGCAGCTGCAGAGCTCCAGCCGGCCCTCCCTGGGTCGGAGCGACGATCCACCCACTCACTCACTCACTCCGTGGCGCGCAAAGTCTCTCTGTGTCTCTGATGCTACTGTGAAGCGCGCGGGCACGCCATGCACCGTGCCGCGGCCGCTCCACTCCTGGTTCCAGGAATGGACACACGGCATTGGTCTGACGGCGGAGCATCGCGACAGGCCGAGTTCCGTAAAATATGTTGGCGGTGGCGCGAAGCCGTGTTTCACCCAGAAGGCCGTGGTCCTCACACCAGCGCGCGAGGACCTGAAAACCAGCATGTCGGAAAGCATGGGGGGAAGGCAAGGGGAAGGGGAGATATGCGCAGGCTGGGCTAACGACGATGTTAACTAACGGTGATGTTGGGAACCAGATTGTAGGAAAGAAGGAGCCACACTTTCCTACATCTCCTATTTGCGAATGGATCGAGCAAACACGGCACAGCGAACTGTAGGAAAGCTCGAGCCACGCGTGCCCACAATACCAGAACCTACATCGCCGTTACCTACATCGCCGTTGGCCCGTCTACGGGGCAATTCGGCGAGGCAGTGAAAACAAGAGACAGGGCATCTACGCACACAGTTTTTGGCGTCGCGGCGTCGAAAGGTCGGGCGGAGAGACGCGCGCGGCGGGGCCGGATCGCGCGGCGCGGAGATTCTGGATCCGCCCATCGGGGATGAACAGCACCTCTCGCGGGGGGGTAGTCGCAAGGGGAGCAGCGCGGGAAAGCGGGAAGAGGGGGAGACGAGAGACGCGCCGAGCGGTGCGCAGGCCAGGCTGCGAAGAGGGAGCGCAGTGACAGCCCGCAGCGGCGGAGCGCGTGGGGACGAGGCAAGAGGCAGGACCAGGGCCCCGAGGGCAGGCCAGATGCAAGGACGGAGAGGCGGAGGGTGCACACTTCCCGGGGCACCGCGGCCTCGCGCGCGGCGTGGGAGCGTAACTATAGAGCGTCGGGAGGCGGAGCGGGCGCACGGTCTCGGCCGACCACCCCGAGCAGCCAGGGGCGGGGATCCGCCCGCAGGGATCCGCCGTGCCATGCGCACACCCGGGCGTGGGTTGCGGGGGGGGGGGGGGGGGGGCACGAGGGAAGCGGCTGTGCCAGGAGGTCAGGCGGAGGGTACACACACAGAGGACTCATCGCCGGGGACGTCCAAGAGGGGGGCGCCCAAGAGGGGGGGGGGGCGCAAATCATGACCGCCGGCACGTGCACGGCCCAGGGGTGGGCCGGGAACGCATCGAAATCAGAAGAGGCGCCATGACATCTGGGGATATATCATGGGATGCGCACTGAAATGGGAAGGGGCGCCACGAAATCTGGGGACGTGTCATGGTCCCGCCATGGTATTCCCCCCCCCGCTAGTCGTCACCCCAGTCTTTGCCGCCGCCGACACTGGGGGCGCAGACAACAGCAGAAGAAAAGCAGGGCGCCCTCCTCGCTCGGTGGAGGCCCCTCGCAGCCACGAGCGCGGCCCTCGTCAGCTAGCGGCGGCGGCCGGGTCCTGCCGCGCGCCCCTTCCGCGGCTCGAGAAGACCGTCGTCGACGCCAACGCCGCCGACGCCGCCGTCGCCAACGTGGCATTGTCGCCGTCATCGCAATCGTCGCTGTCACCATCGCCGTCGTCGTCGTCCTCCTCCTCCTCCTCCTCCTCCTCTCCCACCTCCCTCTTCTCCTCCGCCACACTCGTGCTGTTGGCTTGCGGGGTCCCCCCCCGCCGCCACGGCTGGACGCGGCTCAGAAAGCGGGTGGGGATGGTGACAGGGAAGGGTCCGGGGACCAGCGTCGAGGGGATCTGGAAGAGGAAGGGCACTGACAGCTTCGCGCCGTCGTCGCCGTCATCGCCCCCGCTGTCGTCGTCGTCGTCGTCGTCGCCACCATCGAGGGAGAACTGGGGGGGTGACGAAGGACGAGAGCGCTGGCCACAGGGGGGAGAGGGCCTCCACTCGCCTTCTCCCCTCAAACCCGCTCCCGTGTCCCCCTTCCGTGCCGCTGCTCTCTCGCGCGCCTGGTGCGGCGCGCGTGGCTTAAGCTAAGGGGCCGAAAGCAGGCGCAGAGAAACGGATGGGTTGGACTGGATTGCGGCTAGCACGCAAAGAAGTGATGCGACGCCAAGCCGAAGCTGAGCAGCGCAACGACGTTTGAAACCACCGCCAAGTCGCGTACTGATTGCCCCGATGTTCAACCAGCGCGTCGACTGAAAAATCAACCATCGCCCTCAAACATAGCCTTCTGACCGAGGTCAAAATCTTGCCACACGGGGCCACATTGATGGAGAACTGATGCTGCCGCCTCGCATGTAAGTTGCGCGTCATGCACAACTCGAGCGCGTGCCAACTAATCGTAGGTCGGGCATGTTCTCCTACAGCCAGCTTTTTGATGAAGAATAACAAATCGACACATGTAGAGCGGCATGCCCGACATAAAAATAATGTGTCCCTTTGAAGCCACACGTCTACACATGGGTAAACGAACAACACATGTCTTCAGGAGGCTCCGAGAGCCGTGAAGCCAGCCTGGCGTCTGCATGAGTTTCTAAGCGAAGAGGTTCCATGGGGAGGGGGAGCATACCATGAGGAAGCTGAGAAGCAGTAAGACAGATAGGAGGACGAGGTGAATAAGGCATAGGAGAGAAATATGAGAAATGAGAACAATGGAAGCAGGAGGAATCGGAAAACTAGGAGGACGAGGTGGGTCGACAGACGCCGCAAGATCCGAAACCCGATGTGATGAGCAAACCAGATTCGTGAAAGCAGCGCTGCCGCACCTCGCGACCCATATATCTCTGCGCGGCACGCCTCGAGCAGGCCCGAGCCGTGAGGGCCCCCCGGGGATCCGGGACGGGGTGTTTTTTTATCTCTCGCGACTCGCAGATCTGAGGATTGCTCATGATGCTCGACCGGATCCAAACATACAGTCAACCCGCGGAGTAAGGATGCACGATAAGGATACAAGGGCCTTGGAAAACCATGTTGACGATTTTCGAGCGGAGCGCCGCCGAACACCGAAGGATGCAAAGGGTACCCTAACGCACTCCCATCCTTGCCGAACTGGCGCATCGGGCACAAGCAAAGACAAGGATGCAAGGGTAACCTAGGACAAGTTTCTCATCCTTCCTCCGCGGGTTGACTGTAGAGGGCAGAAAGCCCACCCCCATGATGATCACCCCGGCACGCGAAGACGTTAGCAAACGCACCCACGGAAGGAATCGAGCAGGGCAGGGCTGTTTAGGAAACGCCCGGGGCCGTTCAGTAAACGGCGATTGTCGGGTCCGGGTGGTTCTTCCTCCGGTGAAGAAAAAAAAATGGTACCCCCCGATAGTTAGCAGCAGTCTCCAATCAAACATGTGGAGGACCTATGGCGGCCCCGAAAACATCTGCCACACCAGACGGACGCGTCCAACGGCGTCCAACGGATATGGGCGAAGACACCGCAGCAGCGGGGCCGCCTGCGCCGCGGTTGCGGCGGCCGCAGTGGTGGCCGCGGGGCCGCGGCCCCCAGCGACGACGACGACGGCGGCGGCATCTGGAGGCCCAAGACGATGAAAGAACAGCCCACGCTCAGACCTGCATGGAGGGGGAGTAGGGAGGAGCACGGGAGGGCAAGGACATGAAGCCGCTGTAGGTATGGGTGCCCCGAGGGGGGGGCTCCCGTTCGAGCGGGGGGGGCCCGATCCAACAACACGTTTGCTTGAGCGGTCGCGGCCTCGCGCGCAGCCGAGAATGTCACCCGAGCAACGGGAGAACGCGCGCGGTCAGTTCCTCAGAGGATGGGGCAGGGATCCCTCATCCGAAAGCGCACACACCCATGGCCCGCACAGAATTCCACCCCGAGAACTCTAGGGGTCGCATGTGTATGGGTGCTAGTTGCCAGTTGTCAGCTCGCGGCACGAGGGCTACAAGAGCGCCCCCGAAACTTTCAGCCGACCAAGGCCGCACACGACGGCGACGCCGCTGTGAGCTCGGGCGCAGGCGGCTCCGTGCAGGGAGAGCCGAGCGGGGAGGCCCGCAGCCCACCTCATCCCATGCAGTCGACGAGGCGTTGTGTACACTGCAAGCCGATCCGTCGTAGGCAACTCGTGCTTGGAGCAGAGCGAGGGGCCCGAGCGGTCATTCGCTGTCCCTGGGCGCGGGGCTGCCACTGGGGTTCCGCGGCGCGGATTTGTACTTGCATGGCTGTTGCCGTCCTCACCCGCGACACCCCCGCGACCTGCTCGCGACTCACCCCGTCCGCGACCCATCTCCCGACCCACCCGCGACCCACCCGCGACCCACCCAACGCCCGCCCCCGCACTCTGATCCGCACCTGCGGGGTGCTACGTCTCTGTCCGCTGCGCAGGCCCGTGGCGCATCGCTCTAACGCTGCAGCATCAAGCGGCGGGCGAGGATTAAGAGGCAACTCCTGGGACGTCTTCCCCCCAAAAACGGTTGAAGGCTACCAAGCCCGATAACAAGGGCCTCTGGCCCAGATCAGGCCCGATGAGACCCAGGATGAAACCAGATCGAGCTGCAGTAAGACCGACTCCGCGGGACTGAGCCGGGCCTGGCGGCGTTGAGCCAGATCCAACAGGGACATACCAACACCGATTATGAATCTATATAACCTCCCATGAATTGCATCCTAGCCTGGGAAACCAAAAGGAACGGATACGTGTGCGGGGTGCGTCCTGACAAGGATCTCGAAGCGAATCCAGCCGTGGCGACGAGGGTCCACGAATACGAGGACGACGCCGACGGCCGTGGCGACGAGGGTCCACGAAGACGAGGACGACGACGACGACGCCCACGACGACGGCGACGCCGACGACGACGCCGACGACGACGGCAACAGCGACGCGGACTGCGCGGGAAGCCCGCTCCCGGCTGGCTCCTGCCGGTCGGGAGCGCCTCGTCCTCGGGGGTCCACGCGTCGAGGCGCTCCTCTGTGGTCTCTTTTTTTTGGGGGGGACGAGGTGGCAGCGGAGTGCGGAGCTCGAGGAGCACAGGCGTCTTTGTCCTCGGGGCGCGACCCGAGTGCCGAAAACGTGCGGCCACCCTGGATTCCCACTGGCTCACCACATGCGTAAATATGCAGATTCACACGCCACACTCACTCACCACTGGATTCACAGTGTTAGAGATGCAAATGATGATAATGCGCATACATAATTTACCACAGGCCAGCGCGGATTTCTTGGATTGGCACTGGCGGCCCTTCCCTGGCGCGCGGAGCGCACCAGAGGCGGCACCAGATGCGCCGCCAGGGGGGCCCAGCGCCGATCCAAGAGATCCATGCGGACCTCCGAAAAACATGCTTGTGCCGCCTTTGAATCTTCGAAGTGTGGTCACCGCACCGTCTACAGGCCCGCGAGCAGCATCGATCGCTGTCTCTAGAGGCCTCCTGGCCTGGATGGGGTCCGAAGAGATGGGCTCGGAGCATCGCGCCGCATCGCCGATGCATGGCCGATGCGTTGCGTCAGCGGCATCGGCGATGCATCGGCGACGTCGGCGTGGAGAAAATCTGGCTCCACGTCGAGCCGCATCGCCGATGCATCGGCGATGCGGCGCGATGGTCCGACCCCATCTGCTCTGACCCCTCCTGGGAGGCCCAGGGCGGGCTTCTCAGAAGCCCTCCCAGCTTCCAAGAAGCCTTCTCGGAAGCCTTGGGGCCCTTCTGACGAGGGGCCTCCGCCTTATCTATGGAGGCCTCCTAGATGGGGTCCGAGTTGCGGTGGTCGGAGGGTCGCGTCGCATCGCCAATGCATCGGCGATGCATCGTCGATGCATCGCCGACGTCGGCGACGCATCGGCGACGCACCAGCGACGCACCGAGCCGCATCGTCGATGCATCGGGGATGCGGCGCGATCCCCTGTACCCATCTGCTCTGACCCCATCTAGGAAGCCTAGATTCTATGGAGGCCCCCTCCCTGCCTACTTAGAAGGCTGCCCTCACCTTCTTACAGCAGGAGCTCGACCACAAGAAATCTTCCACAAGAAACCCAACCCTGAGACCCCACGACGCCCAGTGATTTTTGGCGTGGGAACGTCACGCTCTCCACAACGAAACCACCGAAACTAAAGAAACCCAGGGCACCCTGGAGGCAAGCAGGGCGTTTCTTGTCATGGGTTTCCACTGTAGAAGGCTGCCCCCCCGCCTTCTGACAAGCCTCTGGGAGCCTGTTTTATTAGACCCCGGCAATGTTACTTGCATGGATGGGGGGGCCTGAACCTGAAGCAAGCCGCAAACAACCTGCACGTGCGGGCCCCCCGCAAGTCGAAAGGCACGATTAACACACCAGTATTCGCTTGAAGAGGGGCGAGGGGGAAGGGGGGGGGCGAGCGAACGCCAGGCAAGTAAACTTGCCTGACTATATATATATATACACACAAACACATTTACACATATACATACACAGATACCTACATCTATGTATATGTGCATATGTATATGTGTATATGAATGTCCTTAAATCTGTATATATATATATATTTATACACAAAGCTCTTCGAATGCTGCCCCCTGCCTTCTTAAAAGGCTCCCCCCCGCCCTATCGGAAACCTCTGGACCTCGCGGCGCCCGCGCGGGCGCCTCGCCGGTCTGCTGGGGGTCGTTCGGCAGCACCACGACGCGGTGCAGGGCCACGGCGTCCTCGGGGAAGACCCACTGCACGCCGCCCCTGGCGGCCGCGAGGAGGGGCCCTCGGAGAGGGCGGGGAGGAGGAGGAGCGAGGACGAAGAGGAGGAGGAGGAAGAGGAGGAGGAGAAGGAGGAGGAGGAGGAGGTCCCGAGGTCCAGATGGCTCCGCAGGAAAGCTGAGCGAACTGGGGGCCACGAGGACCATGGCGTGGCTCACCAAGAGCCGCGCGAGAAACACCCGCTCAGGGGGAACCCCGTCCGCGGGTGCAGACCCGCTTTCAGATTTCTTACTGCGGTGGTACGGACACGACTGATGGACCAATCGACTGGGCCCTTAGGGTCTTCGAGAGAATCGGCGATTGTCTAGTGGAGGCTGGTCCCCCACAGTTGGGACAATACACATGCGGCCCTTCCATGGCCAGATGGTGGCCACAGAGGAGCGCAAGCCTAGGCACAGCACCATAAGACACAGTCGGCGCCTGAGCCGCGGAACCCTTGGGCGCCTCCCCAAGCTCCTCGGGGGCAGGGCCGCGGCCCTGCTGGAGCTGCAGAGGCTCCCCTGGAATCCAGCTCCTCGCGTCTTTCCCGCCCAGCCCCACAGGATGGCCATCGCCCCCAGCGGGCCCCGAGCACCCGTCGGCAGCGCGAAGGGCCACCTGGATGGCCTCGGCCTTAGCGGACGGGAGCGGGACGGCGGAGGAGAAGGACAGCCGAGCTTCCGCAGGGGCCACGAGGGCCTGCAGTGCGGTCGGCACGCGCGCTGCACCAGCCAGCTCGGCGCAGGAGGCCGGCGTGCTCGCAGAGGCCGTGCGCAGGCGGCACGGCCACGCGGCGCCACCGGCGACGCCAGGCCGTGGCGGCCAACTGGGACTAACTGTGCAGCCCCGACGGCGGCGCGGCGGCGCACAGTCGCAGGCACCAGCCCCGTCGCCTCCTTCACGTGGGTGCCGACGGCGGCCATCGGCCAGACCGTCAGGGCGGCCTCGGCCTCGGCGCCCGATAGCTTCGCTGTGTAAACAGCCAGCAGCGCATCGGGCGGCTCGCGGCTTCGGGTGCCGCACCTGGCGAAGAAGTCGGCCCGCTCGTTGCCGTGGAAGTCCTGGCCCAGCCTGCCCCGGCCGCCATGGAGGTACTCCCCCCGCGGCTTCGTGCGCAGGACACCGGCAGGCACCAGGCGAAGGCCGGCCATGCGTCGCCAGACAGATGCGCCTCCACATGTCGGCGCGTGCTGCCCGTCGCCCAGGATTCGACTCTTCCAGGGGGGGCTTTGCGCTCGTGAAGGGCGGTCTTCCCAGGGCTCTCTTGGGCTGCCCCGCCCCATTCCCCATGCTTTCTGGGCTCAGGCTTCGCAGGCCCGCCCCCTCGGGGAGTTCATCGCCCCCGCGCTGCCGAGTTTCCTCCCCCTTTGGCGTCCCCCAACACTCGGGGGCGACAGGCAACCCTGTGACGCCCAGGAGCTGTGCCCTCGTCTGGGCAGAGTGCCGTGCCGAAGCGCACTATATTTGATCTTGTGCCCCCCCCCCCCCTCTGCTTGTTCCGACCGACCGACCGATCGTGCCTTCTTCCCCTGCTTGACCGCGGCCCCTCGTGCCCCTGCCCTTCCCCCCGTGGCCCCCGCCCTCTGCTTAATCCAGCCGACCGACCGTGCCCACCCGTGCCCGACCGTGGCACCCCGTGCTTCCCACCCTTCTCCTTGCCCGCCCCCCTCCTCGCCCTGCTGCTTATTCCGACCGACCGGCCGTGCCTTCCTCCCTCCCCCCTCCGCCCGACCGTGGCTCCCCGCTCCCCCCCCTCCCCCCTCGTGCTTGTTCCCTGCTTATTCGAAAGAGCGTGTTCTACCGCTGCTGGCGGAAAACCGGGGGGGGTCACTACCGGTTCGAACCCCTCCCCCCCCCCCCTCCGGAAAACCGGGGGGGGTCACTACCGGTTCGAACCCCTCCCCCCCCCCAGCTCATCATGAAAAGGGGGGGGGGTCACTACCGGTTCGAACCCCCCCCCCCCCTCGAAAACCGAGGGGGGGGTTCCCCCCCCCCTCCCCCTTCGAAAACCGAGTGGGGTGCGGACAGTGGTGGGGACGGTGTTGGTGGGGACAGTGGTGAGGGGACAGCGGGACAGTGGTGGGGACAGTGGGACAGTGGGACAGTGGTGGGGACGGTAGTGGTGGGGACAGTGGTGGGGACAATGGTGGGAACAGGGGGGACAGTGGACAGTGGTGGGGACGGTGGTGGTGGGGACAGTGGTGTGGGGACAGTGGGAATGAGGTGGAAACAGTGGGACAGTGGAGGGTACAATGGTGGTGGCGACAGTGGTGAAGGCGGTGGCGAGGACGGCGGTGGGACAATGGGACAGAGGTACAGTGGGGACAGTGGTGGGGACAGTGGGGACAGTGGTGGGAACAGTGGGACAGTCAGTGGGACAGTGGGACAGCTCAGTGGGACAGCGGAGGAGTCAGTGGGACAGTGGGGACAGTGGGGATAGGCAGTGGTTGGGGCCGTGGAGACAGTGGGGAGAGTGGAACCGTGGTGGGAACAGTGGTGGGGACAGTGGGGACAGTGCGACAGTGGTGGGGGCACTGGTGGGGTAGGGACGGTGGTGGAACCAGTGGGGACAGTGGTGGTGAGGACAGTGGTGCTGGGAACAACAGTGGGGGATGTGATGCGGACGGTGGTAGGGACCGGGAGTCGTTTGCTGGCGGTGCGTGGGGGGGGGGGGGGTCGAACCGGTAGTGACCCCTCTCCGGTTTTCAGGGAAGGGGGGGGTTCGAACCGGTAGTGACCTCCCCACCGGTTTTCCGGATCTGGAAGGGGGGGGGGGGGGGGGGGGGGGGGGAGGGTTCGAACGCGGTAGCAGTGACCCACCCCCGGTTTTTCCGAGTGGGAGGGAGGGGGGGGGGGGAGCGGTTAAGGAGGGGGGGTTTGCCGGTGGAGAGGGGGGGGGGATCCAGCAGGGGGGGGGGATTTTGGAGGGCGGGGGGGGGGGGGGGGGCGACCCCCGGGTTCCGGAGGAAAAGGTTGGCAATTTTCCACAGTAAAGCGGCGGTGGATCACGCTCTCTCGCTTATTCCGACCGACCGACCGTGCCCCCCCCTCTGCCCGACAGTGGCCCCCATGCCCCCCCCTTCCCCCAGTGCCACTCCTCTGCTTATTCCGACCGACCGACCGATCGTGTCCTCCCCCCCCCTGCTCGACCGTGGCCCACCGTGCCCCCTCTGCCCGACCGTGCCCCTCCTCTGCTTATTCCGACCGACCGACCGTGCCTCCCCCCTGCCCGAGCGTGCCCCCCCCGTTCCCCCCCTATTCCGACCGACCGACCGTGCGCCACCCCAGCCCGTCCCCCCCTTCCCCCTGTGGCCCCCTCTTCTGTTCCCCGTGCACGCCTTGTCCCCCCGTGCCCCCAGCGTCTGCTTGTTCCGACCGGCCGACCGTGCCCCCCCCCCCCCGCTGTCCCGACCGTTGCCCCCCTCCCCACCGTGGCCCACATCTGCTTATTCCGACCGACCGGCCGTGCCCCCCCCTTCTGCCCGACCGCCCTTGCATATTCCGACCGGCCGACCGTTGCCCCCCCTCTGCCCGACCGTGGCCCCCCCGTCCCCCCACCGCCGTTCCCCAGTGCCCCCCCCCCCTCTGCTTACTCCGACCGACGACCGTGTCCCCCCATGCCCGGACCGTGGCCCTCCGTGCCCCCCCCCCAGTCCCTGCGTCGCCCCCCCCCTCTGCTTATTCCGACCGACGGACCGCGCTCCCCCCCCCCCCGACCGACCGTTGCACCTCGTGCCCTCTCCTTTTCCCCGCCCCCCCCTCTGCTTCTTCCGACCGCCCGATCGTCCCCCCCCGTCCCTGCTCGACCGTGGCCCCCCATGCACCCCTCCTATCTGCTAATTCTGGCCGACCGCCCGTGGCTCCACATTACACCACGGCCCCGAGGAGCTCACAGTGACGTAACAAGTTCTTCACACCAAGGCTCCCAGAGCAAACAATCTTTCAAAAACTTATCAAACGTCGATTATGGTTGTCTCTCGGGGCCCTCTCGGAAAATGTCTTGAAGCCTCTTGGGGCGTCTTGGGGGCATCTTGGGCCGTGTGGAGGCCATCTTGGGCGTCTTGGACCGATCGTTCGACGACTCGGGGCCCTTTTTCCGCCGTCTTGGGAGTCTATGAGGGCACTTTTGCCCCGTCATCGGGCTTCGCGGCGTCCCAGAACTCCACGAGATACACCCCGGACCCGCGCAAGAGCGCCTGGGAAACCGAAGGTCCGGGCCCTTAAGATCCTTATAACTCCTCTGCCTCTCAGGGCTGCATGAGCCCTGGGGCACTCCACAACGTGCTGAAGACACGGTGGCGGATCCTGGCTACGCGTTGCGTCGCGCCCCTCTCTTGAGACCAAGCGCTTCGCTCCATACATGGGGCCCGCATTATAAAAAAAACGCCATTGAAACCTCGCGAACCTCCTCCGTCATCTTAAGCTCGCCTTCAGATCGAACCCACAGCCAAGCTGATATTCGCCGCTCTCCCGTTATGGTCACTCGCTGGCGTGTCGCAGCACTCGTGCGCTTCCCCGAAACTACCACAAGTTGGGGCCATCTCCGTCTCCCATTGAGCCGCATCCGTGATTGTATGATCCTTGGCACGCGTGCCTCTTGTTTCAGCGCATCGAAACAAGGTGCGTCGCCGTCGTTCTCGCCCTCGCCGCCGCTGCCGTGGTCAGATAAGTCGTCCTCCTCTTCGTCCCTCCCCGCCTCCTCCTCTTGCCCCTTACTGCTCCTACCGCCTTTTCCCCTACCTCTCCTCACATCCCGCCTCCATCCTGCCTTCTTCTACCCTGATGCTGGCTCCCAGGTGAGATGGTGCAGTACAAGTAAGATAAAACGAGCTGGAAGATTGCAAGACAATCTGAAACTGTTACCAGTGCGCCGGCAAGGTATGAGACTAGGCTTACTTCGAGTAAGCACTGTGCCACCTAGATTGCCCGTGGGCTCGCCATCAGCGCGCTTCCAGTGCCAGTCCATTAGTTTCATGTAGTATTCGGATCAAGAAGAACGTATT